GCCGCTGCGCCACCAGGTAGGCCCATGTTATTGGTGTGTGTTTTCACTGATCCTCAACTCTGCAGAGGAGACAAGGCCATTTCCTCCCCATTTTAGAGGCCAACAAAGCAGTATTGAGGGAAGCAGAGATTTGCCCCAGGCCACACAGCTGTTGGCAGAGCCGGTCTCAAGTTCAGGCTTCCATTTCCCTAGTTCAGTCTCCTTTATGGCAATGCCAAACAGCCTCTGGATGCTAATTAAGGATCTGATTTGGAGCAGTGATTACTAGGGAAGGCCAGAAGGCTGAACTGATGGACAAGCAGACAGCCATATGCCTCCAACCTGGGTCACCTGTTCCCACACACCATGTTAGGAATGAGTCACTGTCAAAAGGCAATGCTGCTATCTGGACAAGCCTCTCAGCAAGTATGGATGCAGGAATTATCTTATCAAATGGCATAACAGAACCAAGGGACCAATAAAGGAAAAGAAAGCCAAACTCATAGACACAAAAAGTAAAATAGTAGTCACCAGTGGATGGGACCTTGGGTGGGACAAGAAAGATGTTGTTTAGGATATAACTTTCACTGAGTTTTAAGGAAGCTCTACAGACCTAATGCATAGCATAATGAATATAGACAATATTATTTTACTATAATCATTAAACTTGCTAATTTATTCCAATTATTATAAAGAACGGATAATTATGCAATGTGATAGAGGGGCAAATTATCTCTAATGGTAATCATATTATAATATATAAATGTAGCAAAGTAACACAGTGTATAGCTTATACACAATGTTATATGTCAAATATATTCAATAAAAAAGCAAAGAGTATATTGAAAACACAATTTCCAACGTAGATACAATAACTTTTGTTAAAAGAGTACATGGGCTGGGCCTCCCTGGTAGCACAAGGGGTTAAGATGCAACCTATAAGGCTGTCCGCAGACTCTGCAGCATGAGTTCGATCCCCAGGCAGGGAGCTACCTATATGGCACAGCAGACCTCTCCTGTCTTGCCTGCTGCTCCCCTCAGCAGTATATTTCAGTCAATCTGCCTGTTCTGTTCCCCGCTCTGTCTCTGGTGAATCCTCTCACCCCCACACATCTGGCCTGTACCCCAGTTCTTGTATGCATAAATAAATAAATCTTAAAAAAAAAAAAAAGAGTAGATGGGCTATTCTCAAAATGAAACTAGACAGAGCTGCCATTGACCCTGTGACCAGGAGGAGGAGGGAGAGAGCTCCAAAAGCACTGGACACAGAACTCCGAGGTATTCTCTAATTTCACAATTGTTACTACTTTGTGATACTGTGACCCCCATACAAAAACTAAATAAGTTTGTACAATTTAAAAAATATGCCCACTTATCACATGAGAGAGACAAATGACAACAGTTTAGGAATAATTTTTTCACCATACCACTGTTACAATGTCATTCATTTTTAAATGAACTCTGCATTTTGGAATAGTTTTTGATTTATAGAAAAATTACAAATATTGTACAGAGAATTCCCATATAGACCATATCCAGTGTCCTCTACTGTTAGCACATTTTCATAGATCATCATTATTAATACATAATACATCATTATTAATGAAAATCTATACTTTTTTCAGGTTTTTCTAGTTTTTAAATTTTACTTTTCCTAAATTCCACCCATGATACCATATTACATTTAATTAAGTATCCTTTGTCCTCTTGGCTGTGCCAGGTTCTCATTTCCCTTGTTTTAGATGACCTTGAGCGTTTTGACAAGGACTTGTCAGGTTGTTTATAGAAGGACCCTCAATTGGGATTTGTTTGATTATTTCCTCATGGTTAGACTGGAGTTAGGAGTTTTAGAAGACCAAAGAGGTAAAATGCCATTCTTATGATATCAGAACAGAGTGCAGGAATTATCACTATTGATGTTAACCTTGTTCACGATGCTGAGATGGTGCTGTCCATGTTTCCCTTTGCAAAGTTACCTTGACACCTCTTTTCCTTGTGTGCTTTGAAAGGAAGCCTTCGTGCAGAGTCACCCTTAATGGGTAGAGAAGTATGCCTCAAGTCCTTGAGGGTGAAGTTGCAGCAGATATTTGTCTTTTTTTCCCCAGTTATTTATTCCATCATTGGTGTATGTGAACAGGATTTCAGATATTTTAAAATTTGTACTACAAGCCAATACTATTTTATTTATTTTGTTACTGAAATTGCTCCACCTTTGGCTTTGAGAGTTGTTTTATTTGGCTCTGTGTTCCTCTGACATCATTGTGGATTTTTTTAAAAATAGTTCCTTGCTTTCTGACTATTATAAGAGACTGTCTCATTTTTCACATTTCCTTCCTGAACCTTTGAACCAGTCATTTCTCCAAGGTACTTAATTCCTCTTAATAAAAAACAGTAATAGAAACCAAGATTTGGGGCCTCCCTGGTGGCACAAGGGGTTAAGACGCAACCTAGGAAGCTGTCCACAGCCACTGCAGCACAAGTTTGAGCCCCGGGCAGGGAGCTACCCACATGGTGCAGCAGACCTCTCCTGACTTGACCACTGCTCCCCTCAGTACTTCAGTCAATCTGCCTGTTCTGTTCCCCACTCTGTCTCTGGATAATCCTCTCACCCCCCACACTTCTGGTCTGTACCCCAGTTCTGGTATGCATAAATAAATAAATCTTTTAAAAAAAGAGAGAGAAAGAAACCAAGATCCAGGTGCTAGATGTGCTCATCACTACAAGGGGTCCTTGTTGCTAGGTTCTCTTCTAACAGGGGGAGGTTCCAGGTTCCCTGCCCCATCCAAAAGAAGGGTGGAGCTGAGCAGGGACAGAAGAAGCTGGAGAGGAAACTGAGAAGGAAGGAAGCAGGAAGGAGACCTGGTGGAGGCAAATGAAGCAAAGAGACACGTGAAGAAACTGCGCTTGTCTTTTGGTCGTGGACTGGGTGACACAGATGTGGGTGAGAGACCCGTGGGGAGGTGACAATGGCAGCTTTTATCTTGATGTTGATTTTGCTTTTTTCCTCCCAGACTTGTCTGACTGTTCTGACCCTTTTCTATGGGTCCCTGCCAAAAAGTACTTAAGACTTGCAGCAGGCTTTCTTTCAGGCCTTGCTCTGGGCCAATCCCATTTGGCTGGACTTTTACCCACGAGGGGATGGGGAACTTTGGGTGCTTAATTTAGAAACCATATTCTTTGTCAATTCTGTATTGTTTACTAATTGTATTAAAGTTCCTTTCCATTAAAGGTCTTATATGTTTTGTCTTGGTGTGGCAGATGGCAGAACCTATTAGTGCAGGCAGGTTTGGGGGTTCTGGGGTACCCCTCTCCCTGCCCTATAACTCTCTCAGCTGACAGAGCAAGGAAATAAATGTGTCTATATTGTCAGTCAAGAAGAAAAATAAGGGGCCTCCCCAGTGGCACAGCGGTTGAGCGCTGGGTTGCGAGGCTGCCTGCAGCCTCTACGGCGCCAGTTTGATCCCCGGTTGCTCCCCGGCCACCGGAGGAGGGTCCCACATGGTGCGCAGACCTCTCCTGCCGCCCACTGCTCCCCTCAGCAGTGTACTTTGATCCTTCTGCCTGTTCTGCTCCCTACTCTGGTGAATTCTCTCACCCTTCCGCACTTCTGACTGCACCCAGTGGTTATATCAATTAATCAGTAAATAAATCTTTAAAAAAAAGAAGAAGAAAAATAAGACTTGTAAAATAAGCAAGAAAGTGTTAAATATTTGAGACTAGGGCTCATGATTCGAGTCTACAACCAAAGTGTAGTCCCAAGGTGTGTTTTGCCCCAGGGGCAAATAATAGGGAATTTTCAAAGGGTCCAGTAGGGATGTGGTCTGAGTTTGGTTCACTTGTTTGGAAACTTCTTGGATTGGTTTTTAAGTTCACTTGTCTTTTTTTTATGATTGGTTGACAAGGTTCTTCAGACAGAAGGCTGTGATGTGGGTTCTTTCATGGACATCATCAATGGTTTCGTATTTCTTTCATAATCACCAATAAGAAGAAATTCAGAATTGCTGAGTCATATGGGCCTCAGCATCTCACCCAGAAGTCTCAACATGGCAGTAGAGGCACGGAGGAACTGATTTAAAGTCAGATCCAAAATACTAGCTTGGACATACACACGCAGGTAAAATATTTCTATATGTACCAATTTGTACCCATATATTAAACTAAATATGATCTCATATTGATGCCTCTACTGGAATTCATTACCAGGTGAATCATTTTAGCCTCATTTCCTTGACTGTAACCTCCCATTCAACAATGAGAAACCTAATTCCAGTCATTTTTATTTCATTTCAACTAGCTGATCCAGGGTGGACCCTCTGTTCAAGAAACTCCAACAGAATCTTCAAATCTCTCACATTTTGGCTTTTCATGGTCCCTTGATCAATGCAAGCTCCTACTATTTCTTTCCTAACTTAATGATAATCACCATCATTAAAATTTTTTCAGGATTTCACAAATCCAAAGTATGGGGAAAGAGGGAGTAATTGATTAAACTCATTAAAATTGATAAATCAGCGCTATATGACACAAATAATTTTCAAAGTAAAAAATGTGTGGGGTCAATAATTTCTTTATTTATTAACGCTGAGCCCTCAACTTACATGATAGAGAAATGTATCCTAATCATGTTTAGGGAAGCTCAGTCAAATTCAGGGTTTATCCAATGACCTGGATAGTCAAATCCTTGTCACTACTTCCCACAGTCTCTGCAGATGGCACTTGGGTTCCAGAGGGTTTTGCACCCCTACCTGCCATCATAAGGCAGGCTTAGCTTGTGCTCAGCACACCTGACCTGAGTCTCCTGCTCTCACTCAACGCCACATGGCCCCGGTCCCATCTGTTTCTCTTTGTGCTCTGAAATCAACTCTCTTTTAGATAATTCTTGCAAAGCCCTTAGCAAAAGAGAAAAGATCAAATTATCCATAGGCATATTATAAAATGTGTATCATGCTGTTTGTATCAATTAAGATAGAATAAGAGGAAATATTTTTTTAAATGCCAATGTAAATTTATGTGCACCTTACCTGATTTTCTTCCTACTCAACCAAGCTACCCATCTTTATTGGCAGCAGGTGGGTCTAGAGTGAACAGAGGGAAATTAGGTGCTTAAAGAAGGAATACAGAACAGGGTAATAGCTGCTGACATTTTAAAGCAAGACAATAGGTATGAAATCTAAGCTTTGTTTGTTCCCACTTTATATATCAGCGTGAAATACAATTTTTCCCATGATGTAAATAAGAGAACCATAAAACTAGATGCACAAAAGACAGGATTTAAAATGGAAGAAAAAAAGAAATCTTTTGTAAAGTCACTTTTTTTCATGTTGTGTTTGATTTGATTTGATTTTATATATTTTTACATCATTTTTCCTTTTTGCACAATGTATGCCTTTTCATCTTGGTTATAGTCCCCATACAATTCCCACCCCCCTTATTTTGACCCTAATCCCTCCTCCCCGCCTTCCCCTCTCCCCTGCAAAGTGCATCTCTGGTTTATAGTTGCTTGTTGTAAAGTCACTTTTTTGGAGAGTCCCTTCAATCATTTTTCCTCTTTCCCACATGCCTGCAAATCCTTGTAACTAGCTATGAGTAACCAGGTATTTGTGTCACTGATATTTCTAAACAGTGGGGGAGGGAAGGAGAAACTTTGTAAGAAAACTTTTAATCCAAAGCCTCTGAAAGCAGATGATGAACTGATGGCAGAGGGAAGAGGGATGCGGAGGTAGAGCAGTGGATATACAAATTGTATTCCAGGTCCTCACCCTGGTTTGTTTGAGAAGTTTTTTTTGTTTTATTTTGTTTTGTTTTAATTGAATTACCATTGTTTTATACCCTGCTAGTGTTCTTGGAGTATAGCATTTCCCTTCTCAGGTGTAGTCACCATAGTGGGGAAGTACCCATAGTCTCTTACCGTAGTCCATTGTGCTCGCTCCCCATCCAGCTTGCACCCCTCCTGCTGACATTTGCTTCATCATCAACTTTCAAGGGTTGGTTTTAAAGTTTGCCTTGACCTTTGCTTGGTTGATCTCTATTCTACCTATAAATGACAACATCCAGTATTTCTCTTTCTCCTCTGGTTTATTTCATTTAACATAATCCCTTCCAAGCTCCATTCGCATTGCCTCAAATGCGAATGTGTTTGTCTTTTTTGATTGCTGGGTAGAATTCCACTGTATTCACATATGTACCACATCTTCTTGATCCATTCATCTGTTTGGGGCACTTAAGTTGTTTCCAGAATCTGGCTTTTGTGAATAAATGTTGCTACAACAAACATGGAAGTGCAAGTTTCCTTTCAAATTAGTGTTTTCGCATCTTTGGATCGATACCTAGAAGTGCAATTGCTGGTTTTTATGGCAGATCCATTTTTAGTATTTTGAGAAGCCTCCATACTGCTTTCCATAGGGGCTAGACCAGGACACATTCCCACCAACAGTATAAGAGGCTTCCTTTTTCTCCATACTCTTTCCAGCACTTGATTTTCCTGGTCTTTTTAATATGGGTCATTCTCACTGGTATGAAGTGGTATCACACTGTGATTTGTACTTCCCTGATGATAAGTGATGAACATTTTTTTCATGTGCTTGTTAGCCACCTGTATGTTTTCTTTGGAGAAGTACCCATTTAACATTTCTACCCATTTTTTTAAATTGGGTTATTTGTTTTCTTTTCATTGAGTTGTATGAACTCTTTGTAGATTATTGATATCAGCCCCTTGTCAGATGTATGAAGTGCTAATATATTCTACCGTTGTGTAAAATTTCTCTTTGTTTTAGTTACAGCTTCTTTTGCTGTGCAGAAACTTTTTAGTCTGATCTAGTCCCAATTATTTATATTCTCTTTTGTTTTCCTTGTTGCTGGAGACAAATCCTCAAAGACATCGCTGAAGCTTATGTAATACAGTGTTGTATCTACATTTTCTTCATTTCTTTAATGGTTTCAGATATCACATCCAAGTTTTTTATCCATTTATAGTTGATTTTTTATATGGTGTGAGACAGTGATCTAGTTGCATTCTTTTGGTGCCACTGTTCAATTTTCCCAACACCATTCATTGTTGAGACTTTCCTTGTTCCAGTGCACATTCTCTACTCCTTTGTCAGATTAACTATCCATATATGTGTGGGTTTATTTCTGGGCTCTCAATTCTATTCCACTGGTCTTTGTATCAGTTTTTGTTCCAGTACCTTGCTATTTTAATTATTATGTCTTCATAGTATAATCTGAACTTTGGAAGTGTGATATATACCATTCTTCATCTTTTTTTTGTCAGGATAGTTATGACTATTTGGGCTCTTTAGTGGAAATGATCCCATTTACAATCACACCAAAGACAACTATATACCCAGCAATAAATCTAACAAAGGAGGTAAAGCACCTATACAAAGAAAACTATAAGACATTGTTAAAAGAAATAGAAGACACAAATAAATGGAAAGCTATAACTTGCTCATGGACTGAAAGAATCCCTAGTTTGAAACCCTCATGTAGAATAGAGCAATTTTTACAAGTGATAACCCTGGGAGGTTATCACTTGGTGAGCCAGAAACCAAGAATGTCCATAGGAACTTGAGGATAACCATATCAAAGTAAAGTTCAATGATATGGCATGGTCAGAATTGGATTGTTAGAGCTCAGCTCTCCCAAATGACTTTATTATGGTGTGTGTTGGATCCAGAAGTCCCCTTTGGGTCCTAAAATGGGGAAGCCAAAATTAGCTGAGTCTTAGACCTTTCCAACATGAGCTGTACTATCAGAGGTAACTCAGCAAAAAGGATGAGTCCTACCTCAGCACCTCATCCCAGCCCAACAGAGGCCAACTAAGGACATGCAGAGGCTCAATGGAAGATTTGGAGTCATCATTGATGAGCTGAGGTTGGCAACCGGAAAATATTGTACCTGTATCAAGATCAGATGGCAAGTAACATCATCTTTAACTTCAGATACAAATGTCAACAGGATAAGCATCCCACTAGTGGACAAGCAATGTTGTTATGGAAACAAGGAACATTGTCATGGAAACCAAATAGGTTAGAGGCCAACACATGAATCCTAAGAACACTTCTCTTCCCAAGGCCAAGAAGACACAGTAAGCACAACCCTACCTATTTCTACTAAGAGTCATTATGGAGAAAAGCAAGACTGAGGTCAGAACACTGAGCATAGACTTTTCACACAAGGACACTCAACTTTATTTAAAGGAATGTTTGAAAATGCTCATCAAGATTATACAAAAGTAAAATTGTAATTTATGTCACCTCTGGCTTATAAACTTCTATTAAACCTAGTCAAAAGGTGTTTTTAAAACAATAAATATAACAATATGAAAAAAGCTTTCTGGAGGTCTTCTGGGCAGCTCAAGAGTAGAAGGAGGAGGCTCAGCAGAAGCCCGGGGTGGGGTAGGAAGAAGACTCCAGCTGGTGTGAATGGAAGAGGATGAGGCCCTCAAAAAAGGAGGGACATTGTAACTAGAAACAGAGGGAAGGGATATTGAATAAGCAAACACAACAGATGTTCGCAGCTTACCTCTCAGTAAACAGGTATGCCTTGTCCAGGAAGCAGTCAATCAGTCATTCACTAAAAAAAATTATTAAACTGAATGGAGAGGAAAAAGTTGACAAAATTGAATCCACAATAACTCCTGGCTTCCAGAGCTCACTATCTCATGGAAGTGGCCGACAGGCAAAGAAAATAACCAAGAAAAAAAATATTTTTGACCCTTTGAATCTCTCACCTCCCACTTCAAATCCATCACCAAGCCCTGCTACCTCAACTACAAACATTTCGTCCTTCTCATTGCCAGCAACAGCAGCCTAGCACACGCGACCATTCTCTCTCTCCTGGGTCACAGAAATGTCTTCCTAATTGTTTCTATTTTCTCTCCTTCTTACTCCCTTCTAACCCAATCTACAGAGGACCCCAGAGTGGTCTTTTAATATTTTGAATCAGACAGTGTCTTTTCTCTTCAAAAACTACACTATTCCTACTGCAATGAGAATAAAACCTAAACTCCTTACCTAGGTCTGACCTGATCGTCCCCTCGCCCTGCTCTCCAGTCTTCCCCTCAACTTATGCTCCAGGCAAATTTCTCTTTTGTCAGTTCAAGGTAAATTCAAACTCATTAAATTCTTTGTCATGTTAGAGGCTTGGCATTTGCTATAACTTCTGCTTTGATTGCTCCCCTCTCTTGTGTCTGCTCCTTCTCATCCTTCATATTCCAACTTAAATATCAACTCCAGGAGATTTCTTTTGTAACCCTGATACTGACCTAATTGGATCCTATCACTTTTGCTCACAAAGTCAGACTCTGAAGCATGAAGTGATTTCCACAAAGGAAGCCCTTGATTAACACGCGGTATCACCCCAGGAGAATGGCAGTTCGTTCTCTAAAGAAACCATCTTCTCGAGTGGGGAGTGAAAGCAATTATATCAGAAAGGAAGGTCAGAGGACATGCGTGGTGAGGGAGGGCGTCTTCGTCCTCCCCTCCGGGAGGAAGCCGGGCTGTCTAACGGCCGCTGATCACAAGACTATTAACCCATCTCAGGAATAGTTGCTCTTTTCGGCATTAACAATTTAAAATGACCTGAGTATGTTCCTCAAGTGTGTTCAGTATCAAGTGTGATATTAGGCAGCCTCCTCTGAGGGAACAGAAATATTTGGCCAAGCACTAAGCGCTCACCATGACCCGAGGAATGCAGAACAGAAGCCTCTGAGGCAGGATTAGGTCATTCCTCTCGGCTCAGGCCTGACAACCCTACGACGCCACTTCCCACTGCTGTCTATCGTAGCGTCCTGCGCCTTTCCATCACGCCATTCACCTGGGTTTGCAATAATTAGTAAGAAATCTTTAGTTACAAATTCTTTAGATTTTGTATGTGGCTTACTTCCTTTTCGACTCTATACCCTGCATGTTATAAACCGCCTGTCACTCATCAGATATTCAGGGATGCTGACCTCAAATAAAAGCAGTAGTTATTTAGACAGTTTATTTGGAAACAAAAGAACAGAAGAGAGAGCAGATTGCATAGTGCATACAAGTCGAGAACCACCTGCACTTTCTCGAATCCAAGACCAACAACCTCCATGGGACCTGGAGGACCACTCAACTTCCGCCACAGCAGGAAGCAGGGGAGAGGTAAGGCATGCTGGGCCCTGCAGTTTGCTGATTGACGCATATGTGGGCAGCCTCATTTAAGTATGGTCCTGAATATTAATGTCCCCAATAACTATGTGTTTGTTGAATGAGTGGTTAGAATAAAATAAATAAATATTAATACCACATGCAATCCCTCCAAAAACCTTATAAGTTGGTGAAACTGGATCTCTGAAGTGCAAGCCAGGGGTCATAACTGACTACCCCACAGCCTCAGAGGCAGGGCAGCTGGATTTGTTTGCACCAGTGGCTACAACACCTACCACCTGAGCCCAGCTGGTTCAAGCCCCTCTAGAAGCAGCAGCAGCAGCAGCAGCAGCAGCAGCAGCAGCAGCAGCAGCAGCAGCAGCAGCAGGAGTGTTCCCTCCCCACCAACAGAACACAAGGTGCTTGCATGCAGCCACTTCCCCCTCCAGCCCCTTTGAGTGCCAGAGCTCCTGTGGGTGTCCCCTTGGGTGGCAGCACTGGGAGTTTCCCCTTCGCTCAAGCATACTGCTTGTGGGCAGCACAGAGGCAGGCCACCCTAAAAGAAGCAAAGTGTGCAGGCATTTCCACCACTCACCACCCCCAGTGTGAGCAGCACAGCTGGGGCTGCAGTGGCAAGGATACCCTGTGCCTGAGCAAGCTCTGGCAACAGAAGCAAACCCCAAGCCACTCAGCTCCTGGCCCAGCGCCACTTAGAAGAGCTTTGAGTCCTGATGGAGCAGCTCCAGCGCTGGGACTCTCTACTGCCCAGGCAGAGGGACCCGTGGAATGCCTGGGCAACATGGAAGGCTCCCAGCAGAGCACACCCTAAAGCAGCTAGCTTCCATATTCGGTGCTGCTGCAGGCTTCTCCACTTTTTGTGTTGTTACACTTGGACCTGCTGAAGGGGCACCAGGTACAGTGGCTTCCAGCCCACCTGAGGTCCACCCTGCCATGGCTCCTCAGAGCCCCTCCAGGCCATGAAACTGGCCTGACCTCAGAGCAGATTGAGTCTGTGCAGTACAGGGCTCTTCCCTTTTGTATTGGGTGCCTTTGTAGCAAATGGACCAATCAAGTTCCTGCTCAGTGTGTGAGTTAATTATTTGGATTGAAAAATGGAAGCTAACCAGCACCAATCAGATGTTTAGGATTGAAAATTGTCAGTAAGGCTTGTTAGGGTGTGGGACCCTGAAGGGGATATAAGGCTGGACAGGAGCCAGCTCGATTCATTCTGTTCCCAGCCTCCTAAGAGAGAATTCTGCTCTGGCCTCTGAAGAGAGGACTCAGCAGCCAGTCTCTGAAGAGAGAAGAGTTCCACAGTCGGCCTCCCAAGAAGAAGCAACAAACATATGACCTCGGAGGGATTCCACAGACCTGCAGACCCCCGTAGGCCTTCACAGAGACTCAGCTGCTGCACCTGACTCCAGCCCTGCCTCTGACACTGCTGTAAAGAGCAGCATTGACATCAGCCCAGTGTCTCAAAAACAGCTGGTTGCCATCTGCTTCTACTAATAGTTCACAAAGAATGTTTGCTGTTGCTGTAGGCCAACAACTCACAGACAGCTGTAACAAATGGTGTCTCTGGCACCACCTCCTGGTAACCAGTGGTGACTGAGCACCACTGAGCAGTGCTGACGAGCACTGCTGACAGGCACTGTGTCCAGCCATCATTGAGAGCTGTCCACCACTTCTGGTTGTCCACCACTGACTCCAGGTGCTATAGCCTCCATTGTTGTCCACTTTGTATCCAGTGCTGTCCAGGCTGGCCTCCAAACTGTTGCTATAGGCTGTCCCTGCATCTTGGCATCCCTATCTTTGGCACTGTTGAAGCACTGTTTTAAGTATTCTTGTACTGTTTTAACAAGACAGCACCATATTGCATGAGTAGCTTTTGTTTGGGACTACTGGACACTGCAGACATTATCCAGGGTTAGACAGCTGTCCACTTGTGGCCTTAGAATCTATTTGTTTACCCAATCTCCTGTTTGTTAATAAACCTCATTTTTGTTGTTCCCTGAGCCTGAGTGATCTTGCATTGAGTGCATGGAGAGAACCCAGAGACAGTGGCACTGTACTTTGTACTGTTTTAAATACTTTTTGATTAGTTTTTTTTTTTTTAAGATTTATGTTTTTATGCATACAAGAACTGGAGTACAGGCCAGAGGTGCTGGGGGGGGGGAGAGGACTCACCAGAAACAGAGTGGGGAGCAGGACAGGTGGATTGACTGAAATACACTGCTGAGGGGAGCACTGGACGAGACAGGAGAGGTCTGCTGTGCCATGTGGGTAGCTCCCTGCCAGAGAATGGAATTTGTGCTGCAGTGGCTGTGGAAAGCTTCATAGTGCTAAGAATTAACCCCTTGAGCCACCAGAGAGGCTCCAATTAGGTATTTTATTCCCATTTCACAGATGAATAAATTGAGCCCCAGAAGCAATAATGTGAATTCCCCTAAGGACTAATAAACAGAAATTCAGAGCCAGGTCAAACAAGTCCCAGAGTCTGTTCTCTTCTTCCACTCTGACTGGGTTGTCCATGCCTGGACCATCTTTCAGGGCATTAGCCATCCCAGTAGGATGTTTTTGTTCTTTATCATTGCTCAGATAATAAAGAAAATAATACCAATTATTTAATATAAGCCCCAAAAATGAAAGGTTTTCCAAGATTTCATTAGCTCCCCACATTTACATGGAATTTATCAAGAACCTGATTCTGATAGCAAGAAACAACTCATTTTCATTAGCAATGAGAGAGACTTTTCCTCAATGACAAGTCCAGAATCTCCATTTATGCTAAAGAAGAAGCCTTTAATTGGCAAGTAATTGGTTCAATTTAACACAGTGGGACTTTTAAGTCATTAGAGACTTGAAGTT